CGTAGATATTGGCACAGGTCTTAGAAACCTTTGCTAATATTTATAATTCATTCTCTTTACTTAAGTTTAATCGCCCCCCTCACAACATTATATGCTTATAGTGATTCTCAGTGAAACTCACTATTCAGAATTGCTGTAATAATACACAAGATTTGAAATATATAAAGAAAATATGAGAGATGAAAAATATTTAAAAGAAGATTTTTGTTAAAAGAGATTTTTATTTTTAGTTACAACATGTCAAATTAAAACTTAGACAATATCTTTATTTATATATCTTTCAAAAATTTTATTTCAAATAACAATAACTATTTGAAAGATAAAATTACTAATTGAAAAGATATAATAAAAGTAAAAAATAAAATAAAAGATAATTCATTATTTTTAATTAATTATATTTTATTTTTTATTTATATCTTTATTCTTATTACTATTTTTATCTTTATCTTTAATATTGTCATTTCTTATAATTTATCTCATATTATTTAATTATTTTAGAATCTTTTTTTACTATATCCTTATAATTTTTCTTATTTTTAATCACTCAAATTTATATTAATTTTATTTTGTATTTTCTTTTCTCTTATCTTGTATAATTTTTTATTTAATTTTTGATTTTTGTTCTCTTTTAGTATTATTTAATATTGTCTGTAAATAGTAATATAATTTAAAATTATTATTAATTATATAAATTGAAGTAATTATTTAAATGCATAAAAGAAGAGTTTTTTATTACTAAAAATTCTCATGCTCTAATCTAATAAAAATAATAAAGTTATTACTTGTAAATATTATACTTATAAATATACTATTATTTTCTTGATTATTTTCAAATCTTGATTCCAAGTAGTGAATATTCCTCTACTCTAAATAAGCTGTTGACTTTATTATTTAGTTTTATTACTTTTAAACAGTTCCAATAAGTTCTATTATTTTATTTTCTTTATTGATAGTCTCAATAATTCCAATTAATCTTTTTATTTGTTAGATAATTTTAATAAGTTTTGTTATTTTCTTTAATAATTATTCTATTAATTTTAATTTAATTTATTATATTCTTTTCTTTAATTTCTCTTTTTGTCCCTATATTTATTTTTGATAGTAAGTTAGTTACATACAAGTTATCACAAACGATCTTTAAAATCTTTAGTGAACTTCATTAAATATAAATTATTCAATCTATATTCTTTCACTGTTATGTTACTTTATTAATTCATTAATTATAACAATTCTTGAATTAATGAGAACAATAATAAAAATGATAAACTGTATGTACTATCACTATGCTATAAATCTTTTAAAATTACTTATATCCGAACTCAATTCATACTCTAATTCTTTTCAAATACAGTATATGAAATAGTACAGTACATGTAGTTTTCTTTATACATATACGTACAGTATTATCATATCAGTATACATTTTATACACGTGATGCATATCATACTGATTCAGTTATCTATACTATACTGACACATGTTAGGTTCACAATGCATATGATTGTAATAAATACACTTGTTGTCAAAATAAACTTAGTATTGTTATTGATGTCTTCTGCAGTAGACTCTCTTTATAATAAAGTTCGTTATAGTAAAACTAATCAAATTCTATTTGAGTTCAAAACCATCTATAATAAAATTCTCTCTTTATAATGGAATCAACCAACTGCCCGACCAACTCTACAGCATTATATTTATTATTTTCTTTCTAGATATTTTGTATTGGTTCACATCGAATTCAATCCGTGATACTCCTAACATTTGAAGTTCATCTTCGTTGATTTCTGTTCTGTATCCAAAAGAATAAATTAATGAAGTCAATAAAAACAATATTAAATGCAAGTTTACTTTCGTTTGAGACACATAAACTGACACTCACTTGTCAACCCTAAACATTCGATATTGATATGAATGTAAAATACCTGTGTTAGTTGGAATTGACATCTAAATAGATTCAGTTATTTGTTTTTTTGTTATACTCATCTTTTCATTTTTTTTCTTTCTAATTTAAGACAATCGGTGATTTCTTCGCATATTTTAAGAGATTCTAAAGAACTGTAATACTGAAAATGCTAAGTACAGTATTCAGTTTCCATTTCTCATCTTATTGAAATTTACGATAAAGTTAATAAAGTCGTCAAGTTCCTTAGCAGTTGGTCTGTAAATTTCTTGATTGAATTTTTTTATACCTACTGGACCTGTAAGCCCAAACTCGAAAATGAAAGCATTCAACAATATCGTAAACTGTACCTGTAGTTGGATTTTTAGTATTAAATACAAGTTCATAGTGCACTTTAAAGCAGTCCGAATATATTTTTGAAAAGCTTGATTATATCAGAAAACAAAAAAGCAAATTTTTTACACTTTATAAATGGTTCCTTTTTTCTTCGTTTATAAACTCCCATTTGATTTGCTTTTAATTATGTAATGATTTCAACACAATTTCTTTGTCGTCTCCAGATCGTAATTTCAATTCCACACCACATTGATATCGAGGATAGACCAGATAAAGTCTAGAAGTACTCGCGCAGTTGGTCTGGAATAGGATCCAAATATTTTTCAATAATAAATTTGCACCATCCGAGAAAATTATTTGGTATCGTAGGTTGTACTCCGTTATAGATGTCAAATACGATATCGTTAATATGACACTGTTTACCGAATGATCGTTAACTGTGACGTAATCATCACACAATTATAAATATCCACAGATTCAATGTATAGTTTCCATTTAATACCTTTGGACTAATATAAGGAATACTGATTTTACTTCGTTTGAAATATACAAACTAACAATAGAAATATGATTTATATTTAGAAATAAAAAGTATCTGTATCATTTGAAATTAAAATAAATTTTGTAGTAAAACTAAACTGCAATCGTGTAGATTTTTTATTTTTGTTCTTATTCATAAGAATGTTTTTATCAAGTTCTTTGATTCTTCATGCGTTTTTGGATATTCTGATAGCTGTAGTATTGGAAATGCAAATTATTCGTTATCACTCCCTGTTGATATTTCCAAGTTTTCAGCTTGTTTTTTGGAATAAGTACCATCCGGGAACAGTATTTAGTATCTTAGGTCGTATTCCTTTGCAGATGTTAATTATCCTGATCTTTCTTACCGAATGGTTGTTCGCCTGCGAAAACCTTGTGCATAATTATTCCAAAACTATAAATCTCTGCGTGACTCTCTTCGTAATTATATTCAAAATTGAATTGGAATAAAAATTACAACATGTATATTTCATTATTGGAGAATTTGAAAAAATTCACAGTTGATTTGTACATCGCGTGGAAACATAGTCATATATTATTGTGCTAGTATTTCTGATTTTTGACTTTACTGCCTAGCAGATATATAAATCTAACTAAGAAATTTACAGCGTACGTCCTTACATGAGTCCAGGGTGTTAAATAAGATTGCCATATTTTGCGTAAAATCAATTACTATCGAGTACTCATTTATAACTGGGGTTTTTAGTTATTCCATAATATTTAAGAGCTAAAATGCACTTTAGAGCAGTCAGAATCTATTTTTGAAAAATTGATTGTATTTGAAAACAAAAAAGCATCAATTTCGTTTATAAACTCTAATATAATTTGCTTTGAAAAGTCTAATGATTTCAACACAATTTTTTTTTGTATTCATCTTCTAGTTTAAATTTATTTTCTTCATGATTCCACTCGTTGTAGTCGTGCAATAATGCTTTATAAATTGTCCTTTTGTAAGATATTCAACATTAGTGAATCTTTCAAAAGGAATCTATTCGAATTGATTAATCTCGTCGCATTCTTTTAAATATTTTATTTCCTCTTAAGATATTGTCAGTTTAATAAAGAATATTGTACACAAAATTATGTATGATGCATTTTTTGTTTTCTAATATACTGTAATTAAAATTGCTCCAAACTGAAATAATATTTACAATAAAATAAACTATTATCGTTATCGTTATGGAATAATTAACGCTAACTCTTACATTTAGACGATCATAACCATAAGGATAATGATAATGTGAAAACTGACTGTGTAACAATTACGTATTATCGTTATACATGTACATATCTAATTACGTTACATGTTCATGTACATGTACTTTGTAATACATGTATAAACATGTCCGAAATTAATAACAGAAAGTTATTAATTAAAGAAATTGAAAAAATAGCAAATAATAAGAGAAAGCAACAGCCAGAATGTGAAGAGAATCCACAACCGCTATTGATAACCGAAGATAGTGTAAAGAAAGTGGAAAGATTTAGAACAAACGTATATGATGCCGTAAATGATCAAATGGATTGGACTTACTCGGTTCAAGTAATAGCAGCTGAAAATCAAACCATTAATCAGCAACAAATTGACAGAGAAAATAAAACTGTAATGGATAATTTATTGATTCTCTTTGACAATATTTTCAAATATAATAAAAATTATGAAGCAAATTTAGAAAAACTTTTCACCATTACTTTAAAAAAAACTCAAGTACTTTCTGAAAATATTATATTTTTACAAAGTTTACAAGATAGTATACTATATAGCAAAATTCTTGGCTTTATTTATCATAAGGGTTTGAATACCAAAAAAGACTATGATCAAGCTTTGCAATGCTATCAACAATTGGCATTTCAAGGGGATGCTGTAGCACGATATTTAATTGGAGAATTATACAATGATGAAGATTGGGTAAAAAAAGATAAGAATAAGGCATTTGTGTGGTATTTGAAAGCAGCAGGGTCTGGAAATCCTAGCGCACAATACAATCTTGCCATCTGCTATGAAAATGGAGAAGGAACAATCAAAGATGAAAAAAAAGCATTTGAGTGGTATTTGAGATCTGCAGAGTCTGGAAATCCTAACGCACAAAATAATCTTGCCATCTGCTATGAAAATGGAGAAGGAACGGTCAAAGATGAACAAAAAGCATTTGAGTGGTATTTGAGATCTGCAGAGTCTGGAAATCCTAACGCACAATACAATCTTGCCATCTGTTATGAAAATGGAGAAGGAACAATCAAAGATGAACAAAAAGCATTTGAGTGGTATTTGAGATCTGCAGAGTCTGGAAATCCTAGCGCACAATACAATCTTGCCATCTGCTATGAAAACGGAAAAGGAACAATCAAAGATGAACAAAAAGCATTTGTGTGGTATTTGAGATCTGCAGAGTCCGGGAATCTTAATGCACAATTTAAGCTTGCCATCTGTTATGAAAACGGAAAAGGAACAATCAAAGATGAACAAAAAGCATTTGATTGGTATTTGAGATCTGCAGAGTCTGGAAATCCTAACGCACAAAATAATCTTGCCATCTGCTATGAAAATGGAGAAGGAACGGTCAAAGATGAACAAAAAGCATTTGAGTGGTATTTGAGATC